CTGTCAATCTTGCCAATCTATACCGGGTATCTGAATGTACCGGACCTCTTATTTACCTCTATAATTAGACCCAGTTGTGCAAGAAATGCGATTTCTCACAGGGGTTTCTTTAAACTGTGCACTTTTTATCACTCTCGCAACTCGCAAGAGGCCTGGTATTATAGGGGGGGGGGGGGGGGGGGGGGGGTATAGGAAGCGAGTGTAAATATACCTTCCATCATCCATTGTGGCTTTTTTGTATTGTGAATGCGCATGCCGCTTCGTTTGCTATGCCATATACCTCGAATAACCCCCATATGTCATTGCCAGGGTCGGGATAGAGCTGGAGATAGCATTGAAAAGTTGCTAGAAATAGCTAGATTTAGAGTAAACTGGTGGTAGCTGGGTGGTGCTAGCATGGATGTAGCAGAACGTAGCTACACGGGGTTTCATTGGAGTTGGTTATTTTAATGGCCAAAGAGTGCCGGAACTAAAGTTACTTAAGATTGCAGTTTAGGGGCAGTGTAAACCACGGTGTAGTCAGGGACACAGAGCTACAGTGCAGGAGTACTGCAATAGAACAGTGCAAGTGATACAGTCTGCAACAGTAAAACGCCGACGAAGCTAGACTTAGAGTGAACTGATGGAAGCTGGGTGGTGCTAAAATGGAGGTAGCAGAACGTACTACATGATGAAAACAGGAAAACTAAGGCTGGTTGAGACCTAAAAAGATGTGAATCTGTCCTGATAGATCCAGTGAAGAGCGAGTAGCGAAGAGTTTGATCACTTACCTAAAGCTCTAAACAAGAAGAGGGCTAAAGAGACTCACTTTGATCAATAAATCCGGTACGGCAAGGTCTATAGCCTTGATAAGAAGATACCATGAAGTAATTCATGCAGAAAAGTCGATTTATATAAAGGGTTTCGTTGGATCTAAAAAGGGTGGGTCAGTCTCTCTGTTTTCATAAGATTCTGATGAAATGCTGTTAAGCTCAGGACGGTGATCTTAATAGGTCGGATAGCTGTATCTGGTTGCTTCCAGCCCACCCTTGTCGCTTGAAAATAAGTTCTCACCCCACCTCTTCCAAAAATACAGTTACCAGAGCAGGAAACTCTTCTTCCTCCTCTTCTTTCAACACAAACACAATCAGGTTCCAGCTACTCTCCTCCTCTGCAGCCACAATCTTATCTCCTTCTTCGGAGTTTTACTGTTGCAGACTGTATCACTTGCACTGTTCTATTGCAGTACTCCTGCACTGTAGCTCTGTGTCCCTGACTACACCGTGGTTTACACTGCCCCTAAACTGCAATCTTAAGTAACTTTAGTTCCGGCACTCTTTGGCCATTAAAATAACCAACTCCAATGAAACCCCGTGTATCTACGTTCTGCTACATCCATGCTAGCACCACCCAGCTACCACCAGTTTACTCTAAATCTAGCTATTTCTAGCAACTTTTCAATGCTATCTCCAGCTCTATCCCGACCCTGGCAATGACATATGGGGTTATTCCCCCCCCCCCCCCCCCCCCCCCCCCCCCCCCCCCCCCCCCCCCCCCCCCCCCCCCCCCCCCCCCCCCCCCCCCCCCCCCCCCCCCCCCCCCCCCCCCCCCCCCCCTATAATACCAGGCCTCTTGCGAGTTGCGAGAGTGATAAAAAGTGCACAGTTTAAAGAAACCCCTGTGAGAAATCGCATTTCTTGCACAACTGGGTCTAATTATAGAGGTAAATAAGAGGTCCGGTACATTCAGATACCCGGTATAGATTGGCAAGATTGACAGAGGTTTTGATCATTGAAATCAATAAAATGATAGTACAGCAGGTAAAATCGGTTCGATCTTAAATGGTCCTTTTGTGCTGTTTCTTTATGTGGAATTTGATAAAGCTGTATTGTAATTAGTTACGAAACTCTAATATTGTGTGGTTAACCTTTTTCAGGTCCAGCCCTTTCCGCTAAGCTATTCCTAATTACTAAAATATGTCGAGATTTACTGAACTCCAACTTCAAATATTGATGATTTTAGTATTCCTCAATCTAAAAATCTTCGAAATTTTTCTGCAAGGCATTTTTATCCACGTTTCATGCAATTCGATCACTTTTGGCGGAAAAAAATATTTTCAAATTTTCAAACTTTTTTTTTGAAGTCTCGAAAAAAAATTTTAAGTGAAAAATTTTTGAAGTTTTTCTAAAAACTACATTTCTCCGTGTTTCAAACGATTTCAATCATTTTGAGCCAATAAAAAATTTTCACTTTTTTTGGTGATTAACTAATTGGTAATTATCCAATTAGCTGATTGTCCAATGTAAAAATTTTTGATACAAAAGTTTTACTCCTTGATAAGATAAACATTCTAGGTTAATTTTCAGCCTTCTATGATGTTCACAACTAAAGATATTTGGCAAACCAGAAAGGTGGTACAAAGGTGGTAAAAAGTGGTAAAAGTGGTGTTTCCGTTGAGATACAAAATTGGCAACAAGTCTAATTATGTTCGTAGGGGTCCTAACTACCATATTCCGTTGAGAAATCCTTGTGAACATTCGAATCCAACGGAATGCCACTTTTCCCCTTACTACCAGACAACTTTGGCAGCTTAGTTAATCACTTCTCCCAATACCGCCCAATACATCAGACTCATAGTTTAAGGTATTTTAAATTGAAATATCAGTGCTGGTATTTGGAGAGATGGCTGCGAACTGTAAAGACTGCAATATCATTTCCTCAGAGCATGGACTACTCTATTATCTGTATTAGATGTATTATTAGTTGAATTCAACGTGTTCCTTTGTAAGTTGCAAAATCTAATTTCCGACTTTATTTTAAGTTTCAACTTGACGGTTGGCTGAAATTCTGTTTGCTCTCCACAAGATGGCCAGCTAGAAAGATTGTATTTGTAGTGACTAGTGGGCAGATGATATGCTACAATTCATAGAACTACCAAACAAATAAAGTGGGTACCCAATTTATCTAGTGTATAATAAGACAAGAACAATGAGTAATGTAGTGTATTTCCTCTTAATTATAGTGATTTACTGCGCGAGGGGCCAGGGATTTGAAATGTGTAATCCGGACAAATCCTCGTTTCCTGTTGGTTGTACTAGCAGCTTGTAAACACAGCCTCTAAATGTTACAACCTAGTGTTATGTTTGGATAATTTCCTCAGAATATAATAAAATGCTGGTTGTGAGAATACATTCGCAGAAACATTCACACTTCACTCTATAATTTGAGGTCTCTAATACAGGCAGCATAAACCAAACTATGTGGTCTTGGCTTCCCTCGTACGGTGTGACTGTGTGAATACATCTAGTGTTCTTTATAAAAAATTCTGCGAGTTTCGGAGATGTACGTTAGATACCACAGTTGGTGTTAAAATAGTAAATAGTTGTCCCATCCCAAATATAATAACGCTAAGCCTGGGGTTGCGTCCCGACTATGCGGCACACGAAAAGGAGATCGGCTCCTCGTTCCTAGCTTACTAGGTTCGAGATGGTGTTGTTGTTGTGATTCGATATCTTGGATTGGATATCTTTCGACAATGAGAGGCCTTAATGGGACTACTAGAAAGCCCGTACCCCGTGGTCTGCGGGAGGAAGCTAATAGTATTTATTTTATGGGAGTACTAATTAAAACCCTTGCCTTACACATTAATGTTTCTGTTTATATGGTCGCAACTCTCATATACGGAGTTGGATATTACCCCCAATTGGCAGTCTACCACACAGATCCTAGAGACACACAAAGACGAGGCTGATACTGTCGGATACTCCAGTAAGATGAAGATAAGAGTAATATCCTACGTACTTTGCTGGGTTAATACCAATTTGATCAGCTGATAGATAATATGCGTTTTAATTAGGTTCCTACATCTTGATTTCAATTTGCTACGTCAGCAAAATTTATCGTGTTTATCAACTGTGTCAAATGATTATTGGAGTGAATGTGGCGTGAACTGTTCAAATATTATATTGATAATAAAGTAGTTTACTAAATCAGATGCTTATTTGTTGCAAGTGCTGCGGACTTTTTGTTCGCTGTAGATATTTACTTTTTTGCTCAATTACAATGATCAATAATGTGACATTTCAATGTTTTCTCCATGTCACACTTCCAAGGTTTCTACCGTAAGTGCTACTTCCGATTCCCTCGCCTCTAACAGTGAAGTCCTCCTATCACCCATTTAAAAGTATATTGCTCCCGGACCCCTACTGAGGGTACAAAATCACGCACTGTAAAAACATCTAACTTATGAACACCTGCTGTAATCTTATAGCACATCCGTGGTACCGTGTTCATTTTAAGCTATCAAATCAGTCGGAATTCCTGTACTGTGAAGAATCTAGGTTAAAATAGGTAAATTATGTTTGGTCTGATAGTTCCACACCTGCTCAGTAGTTTTCTCCTTGATGGTTGACATGATATAGAAAGGAATGTTGCCCTCTTCACTAATCTTCAGAGTGTACGTGTGGTAACAGGTATGAGGTACACTCCGTGAATGATAGCTGTTATGTGTAGATAAGTATTGGAAATGTGAGTGTGATTTACCCGCTCGTTCTAAAGATAGACTATTAAATCACATAACGAAGATATTGACTATCAAGATTTACCAAGTGGAACACTTAACCAAATTTTGTAATGAGTAGAAATAGGCGTATTGTAAGTTTTTATTCAGGATCTAATAGTCAGAGCTGAGGGTGTATCTACTAAATTCCTTGTTTACATTTCCACTTCTCTAAATTATAAGACCTGAGAGATGATTTCAGTGTTATGTAAAATGATATCCGTATCTGCTAAAATGTTATATATAAATGGCAGTGCACTGTCATGCCTATCAGTAGCCAAACTACCATAATATTGGACGTAATATAACTCTGTACCTATCACCTTGTAGACCTATCATCTTTTGTAAACTCCCTTCCTTTTCCTGACAAGACCCTTTTCCTTGTCGCAATTAACGGGCGGGATCACTAAATATTTTGCCCCAAAAAACATCTCTTCCCAGACTAACCCTTCTAATATTGCAGGTGATAAAAGCGATAGACCCTAAGGGCTCCCAGTCTCCCTCCCCCGACACTGCTGCTCTGCGTAAACAGCTGGCAGAGAAGGAGCGGGCCCTCATGAGGATGGAGGAGGAGGTGAGATTTACAGTAGAAACTGTGAAATTTTGTTACTCAGTATATCGAGAGGCAGTAAAACTATCGGGCTGCGTTGAATGGGGACTTGCCACCCCATGGCAACATTAAAATATATTGACTCCGTTACATCGCTACCTCAAATTATTTGTTATATTTTAGTGTTGAAAGTATTATGGTACATGTCACAGTGTATGTACACGTTACACTATATACACTGTGACCAGTTCTAAGTTCTGTAAAGAATAAAGATAGCGTACCTGGTGTAATATATTGGTGGTATATACACTGTGACCAGTTCTAAGTTCTGTAAAGAATAAAAATAGCGTAGCTGGTGTAATATATTGGTGGTATTATACACTGTGACCAGTTCTAAGTTCTGTAAAGAATAAAGATAGCGTAGCTGGTATAATATATTGGTGGTATTATACACTGTGACCAGTTCTAAGTTCTGTAAAGAATAAAGATAGCGTACCTGGTGTAATATATTGGTGGTATTATACCCTGTGACCAGTTCTAAGTTCTGTAAAGAATAAAGATAGCGTACCTGGTGTAATATATCGGTGGTATTATACACTGTGACCAGTTCTAAGTTCTGTAAAGAATAAAGATAGCGTACATGGTGTAATATATTGGTGGTATAAAATACACTGTGACCAGTTCTAAGTTCTGTAAAGAATAAAGATAGCGTACCTGGTGTAATATATTGGTGGTATTATACACTGTGACCAGTTCTAAGTTCCGTAAAGAATAAAGATAGCGTAGCTGGTGTAATATATTGGTGGTATTATACACTGTGACCAGTTCTAAGTTCTGTAAAGAATAAAGATAGCGTAGCTGGTGTAATATATTGGTGGTATTTTACACTGTGACCAGTTCTAAGTTCTGTAAAGAATAAAGATAGCGTAGCTGGTGTAATATATTGGTGGTATTATACACTGTGACCAGTTCTAAGTTCTGTAAAGAATAAAGATAGCGTACCTGCACTGGTGTAATATATTGGTGGTATTGTACAAGTTCCTTACTACCTAGTGTACTAGTACCTATAACAAACAAATTACACTTCTCTCTATTACTGCCTACTGGTAGTTAGTTCCCCTGTGTGTTACTGATTTACTGTCAATACACACCTCCCTGCCTCATGTTCTAACTATCATGTAATGTTATATCAATATAGCGAAACTAGCATTCAGTAGTAGTCAATACTCAATAGTAGTCAAATACTGGTAATCTTTTTTTGCTCTTATGAGTGGGTCAATCATTTATTTGAATTGTAGTTGACGAAGTGAGAGTCTCCACTCAGTGTGGAGACTCTCACTTCGTCAACTACAATTCAAAATTAAAGTAGTCAAATATAGTAGTAAATAGCAGTCAATTATAGCAGTAAATAGCAGTCAATAGCAGTCAATTATAGCAGTAAATAGCAGTCACTAGTTCAGTGAGATAAAATATAAACTATAATTAGCTTTACAGTACTTAACTAATCCTCGCCTGTAACTACATGTAACCAGCAATAGCAGCAAATCTGGGGAAACTTTGAAATACACCAATTTGAAGCATTTAACCCCCCCTTAAAAATCAAAGATTATGAATTTTAGTAATCTGATTATTTACATAGGTCCAAAAATGTCATAGCTTCATGATAGTGCAACGAAAAAAATCTCAGAACATTTTGGTGCTGAGTTAGGTGGTTAAGTAGTCGAAAAATGACTGATTTGTTAGTGGACATTTTTTATACCTCTAACACCCAAACCCTTACTACAGTGAAGATATAAGTACTACAGTTAATATTGATGGTCATTATTGAACAAAAATGGTTCATTGACACATAGTTGAAGAAGGAAATTAAAAAAATTAATAAATGTGGTCTGTGGAGTGGTTTATTTGTTTATGTTATAGTGTACGCGTGCGCGCGCTAGCGCGTACTTAACCATCTGTAGGCCAACATATTTAGTCTAGGCTTAAATTCTTTATATATTATGTCACCACTATGGTGCCCAATACTTTTAGTGAAGGTTTGATGTAGAACAGTTAACCACCAACTGTGGTATATCAAAAAAACCATGTTTGTACGCGTGCGCGCGCGCTAGCGCGTACTTAACCACCTGGTATGGCACAGCATTGAAATATCACCATAATTTCAAAAGCAGAGGTCACCATTCAGGTGCCCAAAATTTTTGACTATGGTCCCAATACCATAAAACCTTAGATGTGGCCTCAATGTGGTTAAAACATGTTTATTTTGGACTTTCGGTCAACAGAAGCCATCACAAATTAACCATTATTCAGCAACCTCCGAACTTTTTGTGCCTTATTTTGTTTTGATATTTGATTATGAGAGATAGCTGGAGGATAATAAGTGATTTTAAAGATAATGCAACAAAATGTGTGGCCGTATGGTGGTTAAAACGACCAAAAACACTGATTTTGGTCAATTTTAGACCTTTATTAACCATGATGGACGCAACATAGGACTCAGCAATGTTTCTGGTCATATAAATGAGCAGGTAGTTATATCTAGATAATGTAGCATGGCCAGCTATAGCTTTACAAAGCTAATATGTGCTCTAAAAATGGTTAATTAGTGCAAATATAGGGTATTTTCGAGACATTTTAACCACCTTAGCTGCACATTGATCGGAATGCATGAACTTGGGGTCAATTATGCATTTGCAAACAAATATACACTCATTTGGATAGCAAACCATTATCTGAAGTTCATATTGTGGTTAATTTTCACTTTAATAGATACCTTGTTCAACAGCCTAGCAAGTAATATAGCCCTTTTAACCACTTTTATGACAACATTTCTTGATAACTTTTATCAAGACCCTTCAAATGTCCTTTGTTGACCATAAAATGTTGACTAAAATCATTAATAATGTTTTGATTGGTGGTTAACAACAAATTTTGACATTTTAACCATCTTTTTAGCACATTTTACTAATATTAACCACCTCAAATCAACCATACTATTAAATTGCACATTTGTGATAAAAAATTATCATCCATGCACAAATGAACGACCACCACTATACATCTATAATCAGAGCAATATTTATAGCTCACCGTTCATCTTCAATTTAACCACCATTACGACCACAAAATGCCCCCCATGAGGTTTGAAAACTTTTGTGATAGTTGCACCATGATATGATCTCAATATAATGACTTCTCAGTTCATAATATCATATCTCAAAATGGTGGTTAACCCTAAAACTGGTATTTTAACCACCATAGTGGCCACATAGATGACCCATTAACCACAATTATTCAACATAACCGTACTGTAGTGTTTTGTGCACCAGAAAAACATCACTCCAACATTGAGATTAACCACAATGAGCTGCAACATAATGTTGAAGTCAACATACTCAAATTGTGTGAAAAAAGTCAATGTCCACCAAGTTTCCCCAGATTTGCTGCTATTGCTGTAACCATTATATGTAACTATGATATATGTAAATACTGTAATATTATAATATGTAACTACTGTATTCCTTTCTGGTACCTCAGCTTGTACGTTAATAGCTCTGTCAGTTACTAAAACTCTTTACCACACACTTACAGCTTATAAATAACTCAAAACGTTATCCGTTCATCAAAATAATTTGTATTTTGATAGTCGTAAAGCCGCCGCAATGTGTTACTCATTACATTTGGTTATTCAAGCTGAAATGATATACCCGGCCCTGGCTTATTTGCTGTTCTGCCTTACTAAACTGGAAATGTGACAGGTAAAATTTCTAAATCTAGCTCATTATCCTTAGAGTTAGAGTGACTGCGAGTATATTTCACTGCATTTAATTTAATCTATGGTTGGGTATAATGATTTTAAGTGCTGTATTTAATTGCTGTTTAATTAATTACACGATGCAGACAGCTAAAACTCAGTCGTAAGTAAAAAAGGAACGAGTATAATAACAGTAGAGTATAATAACATACTTGTTTTTAACAGTCACATTTTTGTTTTTAACACTACGTAAGCAAGCTTGATAGATTATGTTATGATTATCAACAAAATGTTGCAATGTTATCCATTCATTGGAGAACATTGCAACATTTCTCCAATGAGATAAAGAAATTGTCTCGCAATTTTTGCAGTCGTCAAAAGCTATCTATTTAATTAAATTCAAATTTGAATGCTCGTATTTAACCTTATGAGGGAATATATTAGCGTTTTAGTGCTAATTAATTTAAACTTTATAACCCCCACCTGCACCCCGGCCCCGCCAAACTTCATAACCCCCTCCCCCTCCCCCTGGCTTCTGGCCCCTAACTTTATAACCCTTCCACCCACACCCCGGCCCCGCCTAACTTTATAACCCCCTCCCCCTCCCCCTGGCTTCTGGCCCCTAACTTTATAACCCTTCCACCCACCCCTGCCCCGCCTAACTTTATAACCCCCTCCCCTTCCCCCTGGCTTCTGGCCCCTAACTTTATAACCCCCACCTGCACCCCGGCCCCGCCTAACTTTATAACCTCTCCCCAGGCTGAGAGGCTGAAGACAGCTCGGGAGCGGGAGGAGCGCATGGTGCTGAGCGCATGGTACGAAATGGGAATGCACGTGCATAAGAAGGGGCTGGAAGAGAGACTACAACCTCAGGTTTGTTCCAGAAACTTCCATACTGATTAAATTAGATTTGAGATTTGTCAAGGTATGTCCGATATGAAATTTCGAGCAACTGTGGTGAAAATGGCTGTTAAACCACACTCCTTTAAATGTTTTCTTTACTAAGAAAGTAGTTGTTTTATGAGTTACTGTTTGGTTTTAGCAATGTCGCTGTGACGTGTTGATGAACAAAGCTACTCTTTCACTAAAAGAAGAAGTTACGTCAGGAAATTTAGAATTTTTATTGTTTTCGAGGTCAACTCTTTTTGACTCGGGTAAAAATCGTTTGATTCCTTGTTAGGTGATAGACCGTAACCGTAACTTGCAATTCGAATTCGAGAGGACTAACAGTTGCTAGAGGGTAATAGCTTGCTATCTTCTAAACAAATCACTGCTCGATACTACTAATAGATTTGTTTCGTTTGTCTCTTGAGATCATGTAAACTATCACTAATTTCAAGACGTGTAAACTAATTACTTAATTAATTAATTATAGGTGACGTCAGATTTCTATTCAGATGACTGTTCATCGCTTGAATACCCAAAATTACAGTCAGATCCATGGCTGAACAAACAGATTGTCAAATTGGTTTCGTCTTGATTGTTTTGTTAATGAATTATTTAATCTCTAGAATCCAATAATGATCAATTATTTTAGAACGAGATCACGTAATATCGGATGTCCCCATAATTCAATAATACGTGTTCTTCGTCAACGAATGGGATTTTTAATTTCTTGGAACAGTTTGAATTCTACGAGAACTTTTGTTATTTTCCACGAACTTACTTACATACAATACAAATCGTAATGATGACCCTGATCAATAGAAAAGTTAGCAAATAAGGATAACTCTTTTTTCACAATCTGACTTTGACAGATTATCGTGGACAAAAAGAAAGAGCCGGTAAGAATATCACATTTTACTCATTAAATTTCGATCTATGACATTTTCAAGCATTGTCGAGAGCAAATTGAAGCTAGCATCATTGAGTCAGATGGCCAAACCTAGCGTAGAATATTATGTACACACATGCTACATGATGAGGTCTCCTCCTAGTCGTTGGAGTAGCCTGCATCACACACATCTCTTGTACGACGTAACAGGTTCCTCCATTCCACTCGGTTCAACTGACGTACTGCATCTTGGCTGATGTTGTCAACAGTAACACCTGTAAAGTTAGCAGCATCCTCGAGTACACAGCCTTTTTGGGGTCTCCCTCTCGATCGCTTTCCATAGTTAGGTTTCCACTCCAGTAGAAAATTGGTAACCTAGTCTCTGGCATTCTTACAACGTGTCCATACCACTGTAGTCTAGCAGAACCGATGAAAGTGTCTGTAGACTTTACGCTAGCAGGCCTGAAAACGTCATCATTGGAGATATGGTAAAACCAATTTATCTTCAAGATTCGTCTCAGGGAGGTCAGATGGAAAACCTCAAAACATTTCATCTGCTTCTTCGGCTCCGTAAAACAGGATAGTGATAACAGCAGCCTTGTATATGCGGATCTTGGTAGGTGTTTTTATAGTTCTACTGTTCCAGAGCTGGTGGAACGCGCCACCCTGATGTCAAGATCTCGGTCGATGGTACCATCCCCACTTATATAAATATTGGCACCAAGGTCGACAAAGTTACTGACCTGCTTAACGGGTTCCCCTTCCAATGTCAGCTCAATAGCGTCTCTTTCGGTGTAGGGTCGCTAGGGCGCACTTTACTGACAAACATACATTGTGTCTTTTTAGTGTTGATCTTTAACCCAGCATAAGAGCTGTAGTGAGCGATGAGGTCAGTGGATTCTACTAATTGCCTTGTTAACCTCAGCTAAAAAGGTTCCGAAGTTTGGACAGAAATTGAATATGGGAGGACCTCTGGATGTCTTCTAGCGAAGAATAGTACCGCAAAAATAAACTTCTAAGCCTCATTTTACCCTCACGAAAGGCAGTTGGCCTCATTTTGATTTCACTAAATTAACAACTCGATCTCAATCTTTGATAATGACCATGAATTTGACGTTTTTCATCAAAAATGTATAATTACACAAAAATTTAATTATTATTTAACTGAAACAGAAATAAAATTATATAACAAAGATATTTTGCGATAGATAAAAAAATTTAGTCCCTGTTGATCAAGGTCTGATTCATTTTGTTGATACACTGATAATTACCGTATCTAAATACTCTATAATGTCAGCTAATTAATCACTAATTGTAATAATTACCAATTAATTACCATAATTAAATACCTTAATTATTTCAGATGAACACGCCCCGCTCGCTCATGTCTCAGAAGAGAAGCGACATGAGACGCAGCACTGTGTCGGGGAAAAGTCCCAGCACTATGCGATAATGTGTGGCGAGATACTCATCATCCGTCTGAGCACGTGGTCTACTGTGTCGCGCGACACACCGTTAGTTGATCACGTGTTATATGATACCGAGATTGATTATTTGAACGCGACAGCTAAATTGACGAGGGACGAGGCTCCTTCAACCGTGAAGCTTGAGAGCTTGACTTGAGAATGAACGATTTTGTCAGGGGAATTATGACGAGTTTTTGTTGTTAGCTATAACGCACTGTTTTAGTTGATTGGTTGTTATTGTTATTTGAACTGGACTATGTCGGGCGTGTTTTTAATGCTCCGAAATAGGTGGCACTGTAATATATATAGTATTTTCATTGGTAACACCACTGGTAACACCTTTGGTAACACTACTCTCTGCTCTAGACTGTAATAATAATAATAATACATCAGTGGGCCAGAATTAACGTAACTTTCTAACCGCCCCTCATTAAACAACCCATATTGTTGTTGGATTCGTAAATCCAATGCATATAAATTATAAACTCTAACCATACGTTAAATCCGGCTCACTCTGTATTATAAAAATCTGATCTGAAAACTGCTTTGTACTGTTTAACGTATTCCTGGTCCTGTACTACAATTCTGCTTGTAATTAGATAATTAATTATCATTAATCTGTTCGCTTTTGGTTAAGAAGGGGTTTAATCTCAGTTCTTACAGTGTTTTTATTACAGCAGAACTATGAAATAGTGTTTAAAAATTCAATTTTTGTGCCTGATAACGAAAAGATGATATCGTTGAATAACGTTTTGAAGTTTTCAACTTAAACTTAAATTCCATCCGAAAATCCTACCGCAGTAGTTTTGTAACGATTTAGTTTTAAAGTGTGCAGAATTCAGTTAAATGATTTGTTCCCGAAAATTCTTTTTTGTTTGAAGTCTTTTTACTATGACGTCACAAAGTAACAGCATTATTTAACAGACACTTTTTTATAAGTAGAAACTAACAAAATACTAGTGTTTTGCCAGAAAATTATTGTTTTTACTAATTATTGCTACAGTTTACATTGTCGTGAATTTACTGGTTTTCCTTTGTTTACACGACCAAATGAGTGGATCAGTGGATGATGTATGATTGAATCACAAACGATTGCCAACTCATGTCTCGTATATCAAATCACTGTAACTCCTGGTAACTCCTAATGCTGGCGCTGACTTGGCAGTACAATACAGTACAGTTACTCTGTTTAATTGTAACAAGACTCATTTGGCACCACGCCAGTACTTCAATACTCAGGTCTCAGCCCCAAAGACGCACAGGTAAGTAATAAGATAATGACTTACAATGACTTACAATGACTTACAATGACTTACAATGACTTACAATGACTTACAATGACTTACAATGACTTTAAACAATGACTTACAATGACTTACAATGACTTACAATGTATGAATCAGGTGTATCACGTCTACTAAAGGTGGGGGGCGGCTCTGAAAACTGATAACTAAAACTATCTTCAGAAAACATACGAGTTGGGGTTTGAAACACTACAACTGTTGTACATGTCTTATAAATTAGATGATGTTTCATGTTAACTATACCGTCCTCAAGTTTAATACTCTTGCGACTCTTTTGTACTGTTTCTGTGACATAGGTAGTAGGTACACACAACTATTATTTAACATCAATACAATTTTGTATTAGATAATTTCCGGTGTCGGGCCGCCTCGGGCGTCGACCAGTTTATGTTTTCATGTGTTATTTATACTGCTTTATAATATAATATATTTTATACTGCTTTACTGAACTGCTTTACATTTCATTATATTCTAGCTCAGTTTATTTGCTGCTTTTTAAAGACAGACACCAGCTCTACACTGTACGTGTTATCTTTGATATTAAATTCTCTTCAGTTCTTCTGAATCTTCACGCGACACTTTCCCGGCACGACTCAGGGTCCTTTGTTCTAAAATGCACATATTTCAGGTAATTGGGATCATTAACGTCAGGAAAGTCAGTCTTCTCGGTAACCAGTCATCAAGTTTTACTGCCTCTCAAGATCGCAGAGTGGTTTCCTTATATTTTTAGTTACTGTTTTTTAATTCGTATTGAACTCCGTACATTAAGCTGTAAACTGTAAAAACAGGTTGTTACTTGTTATTAAACGTTCAAAACAAAATGAGATCTTTCTGCACTAAGAGCCATCAAATTAACTTTTATATATTATTTGTTCTGCATAGAAATATCTGCTTAAATTTACAGAATTATAACTTTATAATACGTCACTCCGCTCGAATAAATACGTATAATATTTACGTATTTTAATACGTATGTACTTGTATTCCATTTTAATACGTATGTACTTGTATTCCATTACTCCAAAAAGTTATATATCGGACTGTTGAGCTCTAAAGCCAGCTTCAAGGCTACTAGACTTTAAAATCAGCTTCAAGTCTAGTACCTGGCATCTCAGCTTCAAGTCTACTGCCTGGCATCTCAGTTTGAAGTGTCTCAATTACCTGAACTGTCAACACGGGCAGCATTAACAAAACTGTCCCACTCATAAATTACACTCACGGGTCTGAGATCTATTTATAGAATCTAGATGTATGTTTATTTAAGTGCGGTGTGATAGATAGTTCGTTACACTGCACATATATAGGTTGGGTCCACTTTAAAAGTCCATTAAATTAACACGATCGTGTATGTGAATTTAAATTATTGCTTTATTGTTGGCACACACTACAAATACATTTTGTGTGTTGTGCATTTTAGCACGACGTTTCGTCAACGATCAAAAAAGTAGTGTTGAAGTCTAGAAAGTTCTTGTAAATATCAGGTTAGCTTCTCTGGGCTCATGAAATGGCGTACAAGCAAGCTGCTCTGTGATAAGCCAAAAACAGTCACGTGATTATAATGAAGACATTTCATTGGTGGATTCGTTAGTAGAGGATGTAGTGGTGATGTACTGAATAAACAAATACAAGGTAAGATCTGTGTGGTGAGTAGCAAGTGGGTGGTGTCTTGGAGTTACATGTCTACCTTTTATTGTCACTGTACTCGTTTCACTGGTTTCACTGGTTCCGCTGTACTGGTTTTACCGAGTTTTTTAGTTTTTACCACGGAAAATACTGAATTTGGTCTTGGAACTAATTCATATTATTATCCAGGCCGTGAACATTAAATCTTTATTGCGTTCAATTTTTATTTCTGCCGTTTCTATCGTAATTTCTATCGGCTCGAGTACTGGAGCAACATCGAAATTAGACAATATGTAACTTTATACGTGGCCCTATCTAAGATCGTGCCACTTTTTTGTGATATCAAGATATTTTGAAATCTTTGGGCTAATCATCCCAAATATGGCAAAGTGGTTTTAACATAATTTCTTGTTCAGTACAGACGGGATGGTTTCAAGACTGAATTTACTTTTCTGCGTTGAACGAGTACGTTACTTCAGAAATTGTTCATCATTTATTTATAATCTCTTTGGATATTTAGGATATCGCGCCGTTCAAAAGTTGTGACTCGTCGGCTTAATTATTTTACCATCCTTCCTAAAATCCTTGGTCAGTTGGTATGTACCGAGTTCATCTGAATGTTTCATATCCGTGTCGCAATACCAAAACGATGTGTTTCGGACCATGTTACCCTTCTTTCCTCTCGATATCAGTACATAATAAGTGTAATTACAAGTTGGTACTTCTCTTATCTAATCAAGTATCTCTCATCTGAGCGATCTATCCGCCTATCACATTACTTACGTATGTGACCCACGTACATGACTTACACGCACGTGACTTACACGCATGTGACTTACACGCCACTCGGCCCACTCCCAGTATGTTGACATGAACACGTGCCCTGTCCCCGCTCTCTTTTTACCTCTCTGTCCTGTGTGTTATTACTTGAGTGAGTTTTCCGTGGGAAATCCATCACGTGATCATTTTATCATGTAATCAATATTTATCTGATTACATGTTAGTGAAGTGGCGAGTTTCCCAAATTAATGCTCAATTATACCCCGTGTTCAACGAACAAAACACAATGTTAACATAACCCTACTTGAAGGGTGAGTAGAATTATATCATTGAAATCTAGTTAGAATTATATCATTTCAATCTGTTGATTTATACTGGAGACAACAATACGGCCTTTTCCTCTGTAAATGGTGAGGCTGTAACTTAACATTACATCACTGCATCTCAATTCATTGTAACGTGTGGAATCGCACGTTGGTGATTATAATAACATTGATATTTAGAGCTCACGGTTATTACACTTCATAAAATCATGCGCGGCGCTGATGTTGATTTCAGTAGTACAGTTAGATGAGATAAGATTTAACCGCAACTTTTTACTTTTTAGTTGACGATTCGACCAGTGACCACACTATCCTAGCCTATTATCCACTGACCACTCATCATAGCATACCGTCGACATGCACCAAGAGCTTGATCACCTTCAATTCCATCTGGTGAGATGACTGAGTTAAATGAATATGTGAATATAATATTATTACTAACTATAAGTTAAATGAATATGTGAATATTATAATCATAAATCACTTTGAAGAGGACCAGGTGAGCTTGAGATGAGAGTTAATTAATCACCTACCTGTCACGTGATCTGAATCAATGTCAGGTGTTCTGTCAAAACTTGATGATTCTCGGAGACTACCCCTCATGTTTTATGTAATCAGAAACATTTAGGTCAGATGGAGTTAGTACTGTCAGCATAATCGGCTGGTGTAATGAGTAATAATGCCGCAAAGTAGCGTCCAGAGAAGGTGTTGAGTATTGGAGGAGGGCATCGGAACCAGTTCACCATCAGATCTGATATCTCTACTGGTGTAATTGGGCGACTAATTGAGTTTTAATTAAGTAATGAAGTAATTATAAATGTTCCAAGTTGTTAACTCCAATCTCCATGTTCTCAGTGACACTGACAACAGTTTTGGTAATTCAGTCCGGAATCATGACCGTTAGCACCATCCATCAGTTTACCGAGTAACGTATTAATTACTCCGAGTCCTACAGCTACCCACTGTACTTTCCAGATGCTGTAATCACGTGACCATGCTCCACCAATGATAGCTCTCCTTTTCCCCCACGTGACTGCAATGGACCAATCAGGCCACAGCTGTGTCAAACACGTGGTTTGTGACGTTAGAGCTTGATTTGAAACCTGAGAGTGGTGTTTGGGGCCGTGAGAGTCAGCAGGGAGGTTATAATTTGGAGCTGGGGCTGTTCTTTATCGTTATCTGTATTGTAGTGGACACATTAGGTTTATCGTCATAACACAGGCTTGCCAAGCCGTGTGTCATTGGGATCGTCTCATGTGCCTGATCTAAGAGCCTTTCATTACCTCAGTTCGTAATTAAGAGCACATCTGTATAGCTGCATCGTACTCTTTGTCATGGCTCCACTTCCACGGTTGTTACTTTTGTGTTGTTACAATATATGTACTTATTGTAGTCTGGATCGTTCTCTGCCGAGGAGCGCTCTACACTATATTTCCGGGGGCCATTTATAGATTTTGGTGACAAACGATAGCGCAAGCTCTTGAATTATTTATTTTCCGTTGTTATCACTTTTTTAGTATAAATGTTAGTTTTATCTAACCTGAGCTGTGGTACTTGTTGTTCTGTTATATTTATTTCTGTACTGTTAACTTAATTTGTAGCACATGTGGTTTAACTTGGTGTGAGTCAGCCAAATCGGTAGTTTTTAACAGTCTTCCCAGAGCTAATTGCGTCAAGACATGCCGGCTTTGGTCCATTTCCCCGTAAATCTAAGTACCATTCGGAGTTTGGGAGCCTGGAAACATTTTGTTCTGTGTCCACCAGTCTCTGAGTTGCAATTATTGTTTGACAGTTTCTTGGTATTCTCCGAAGATTGCCTGCATTTACTGAACTGCTGTAATTGTCATTTTTGTAATTAGAGGGCTCCAAAAAAGGTAATACTACTGGCAGTTGTCTCTCACGTGACTTAATTTATGGCATTTTTCCAACAGACCTGGCTTCCATTTGAGTTATTTGAAAGGTCGGGAACTGTCTGTTTGATCTATTTGA